CGCGCGCGCGAGCGAGGGACCCCCGGGCAAAGCCCCGCACGGAAGGCGGCCGGCTCTCTGAGCGCCCGACCGCGTCAACCTGCGCGCAGCTCCGGGAGGAAGGGCGAAGCCGCCCCCGGGCGGCTGCCGCCCCAGACATTAACGGAGGAGCGGAGAAAGAAACGCTTCGACGAGGTTCGCCCCGGCGAGCGAATGCGGAGGCAGGGTTGAAAGAGAGGATGCACACGCAAGGGTCAGCCACGCTTTTCACTTTTTGTACACAGGTAGTTTTATTTCTATCATTGCTCTTTTGACCAGCTGCTTATTTTGCAGTGTTTTTGTACACGTCCTGTGCTGATGTACAAAGAGACACGTTCCAGCGCCCCCCGCTCCTCCCCACCCCTGCGGGCCGAGGTTCCCTTCTGTCCCAGCGAAAGAGGGGGGGTCTTTAAGCGCGGGGGTCCGCAACCCAGGCAAGCGGCAGAGGTGTCCCTTTGTACGCCGGCCCTGTCCTCCAAAGCCAGACGGTAAGACTACCGGAAGGCAGACTCGGGAAACAGCGAAGCAAGCTAGCCCGGGCACCTGAGGGTGGCGCTGGAGGGAGGCCCAAGGCCTACCCCTGCCCCCCCATGGCTGCTAGGGCGCAAAGCCCCAGCTGGTTCGGCGCGTGCAGGCATCTATCGCGTGGCAGGATTCCTGACACCCACCAGCCTCGTGGGTATCTTTTTGTCCAACCACCTGGGAAAAAGCTAGACTATTGCTTGGGGCCCACAAGCCGCAATGTGACCGTCCATCGCTGCAAATCCATTCTTCCATGCCACCTTAAAAATGGCTCTACGCCGCCAGACCTCAAGCCTTTCGTAATCCATCCCGTCTCGCGAGGGGAGGACCTCCAATCTCTGCCCTTTCTCACTTCTGAACCTTGCTTGTACCCCACTTCTCTGCCCTCCAAACAGCGCATTTACCAGGAACAGAGCTCAAAGCGCACGGGCCAAACTCTTGACCGCCCGGGGCTCGCAGCTCGCCTGATGTCCGTGGCCAGCCCAAGCACCGCTTGGCCGCTGGGTTCCTCCCCCCACATCCTCCCAAGGGCCCAGCACGATGGGAGCTAGGAACTAGCCTATGCCTAGCTCAGAGTCCTAGTGGCAAAACCGGACCACCCCCTTTGTCCGGAAGCAGCGCAAGTAGGCAAAGGGAGCGCTGCCCAAGACGAGGGGGCATGGCAATCCCGCCTGCCCCGAGACGGGAGATGAGCCGAAGCTCGCCGCACAGAGGCAGAGGCGCCGGGGCTCGTGCTGGCTCATGGGCCTTGAAGCAGCTGAGCTGGCCTGGCGGGAAGACAGGCCTCAGCATCCTCCATCCGTTCACTCAGGAACGGCAGCGGGCAGAGGAGATAGAGTTGGCCCGCCGTCACTTTCTCCCAATTCCCCTTCTTTTTGAACACTACCAACTACCATTTCTCAGATAAAGAAGTTAACAGCTAACACACCCCCTTTCTTCTTCCCATGCGTGAGGCTCCAAACCCATCCCATTCCCCAAAGCAAACAATCAAACCTTTGTGTGCACTTTCCGCCCACCCGCCCCATTCGCACCTTGCTCCAAATGTAACACGCACCCACATGCACATTTCGAGAAGCAGAGCCCCCTCCTGCTTCCAATCCCAGGGGGAGCCAGCGGGAGAAGTCATTCCTTTGTGGGCCCTCACTTCAGCAGGCAGGCGGTTGCGGAAACCCAGCACCCCGCAGGAGAAGCCTGCCCCGCTCCTTGCCCCCGTGGCGCACCCTCCTTGGCATGTCAATCCTACAGAGGCGCGGGAGTCCCAGGGCCTGGGCTGAGGGTCACAGGAGGCCGAAAGCCAAGGGGACGCCTGGTGCGAGTCACGCCCCTGCAGCCGAGGTCCACTGGTCTGCCGAGGAGGGGGAGTACCCCGCTTTCATACCAGCTGGTCGGCCAGCCGACCTATCTGCGTTGCTTGAAGCCCTGCGAACCGTCCGGGCCCAGCGGCTGCCTGATCACATTGCTGGGCTGTCTGGGGTCTTCCGGCTGGGAGATCCTTGTGGGCCTGGCGGGGGAAGAACGCTCAGTCCAGCAACAGCTGCCCCCGGTGGTCTGAATGGGAGCCCAGCCCCAGCTCTGAGAGGAAGAGGACGCCCGCCCAGCCTTTAAGCTTGCCCACCCCCCCGGGCCTCTTAGGCTGAATCCCTGATGGGACAACCGCCTGCGTTGGTAGGTCCTGCCCTGCAGAGACCCACATCAGCGTCTTCCGGGCGCAGACAGAATTTTGCCCCGAATGGAAAAGAGAGGAATGAACCAGAGGCCGGAAGATGGCCTCCACCGGCACAGGGAAATTTGGCAAGTGTGCGTTGCAGAGACCCAGCCAGGACCCCTGCCGCCAAAACAGCAGCAGCAGCCGCCGCCGCCCAGGGCTCCCTTACCTGTCAAGGATTGGCTTTTCTTGCTCCTCTTCGGGGCTGGCGCTGCCCAGAATCCGCTTCCTGGCCTCTGCGTATTCGGCCTCCCTCTGTGCCAGTGACTTCACTGGGAAGGCAGGTCGGCTGGTAGAGTTGGGGTTGCTCAGCACCCCGTTGCTCGTGGGCCTCTTTAAGATCCGAATTTGTGGAGGCGGGCCCGAAGGAAGGCTGTCGTCCTGAATCACAATCGGCACTTTGGGCGGGGACTTGGATTTCCTGCTGCACGAAAGGAGCGGGCAGTCGCTGCTTTGTACTACTGGCCAAAAAAGCTCAACCCACCCTCTGAACTAAGCCCCTCTGCCTGTTCACCGAGAGGCAAGGCTGGAAGGCCGTCAAGCTCGTTCTCTGGTTTGCCCATCCAGATTTTCTCTGATTTACTCAGAACAGTCAGAGTTCTGGGTTCAGCCAGCGGCAGAGAAAATATCTGAACAACACCCTATTTTCCTGGCCAGCCCCAGCGAGAGCGCTGCTGAACAAGTGAACAGTCTTACCTTTCCTTCTGGGTGATTCTCAATTTCTTTTCCAGTCGCCTATCTATTTCCTACAAGGCAATGTTGGTTGGTCAAATTCCATTTACCGCTTTGTACAGCCCTCTCTGGACCATACCAAGCAGGTCAGACACCTCGTTGTACCAAGTGACAAGCCTGACCCTCCTCTCCCCTCCCTCCCTGCCCGCAAGGCGATGCAACATCTCACCATCAGTTACAAACTCATCTTTGAAGTACCAAGAGATCCCACAAAACAGATCAGGGCTATCGACCCCACTGGAATCCACCAGGAGGGAGAAGCGTTTTGATTATAAAAAGAGATAAAACCACGGCCCTTTGCTTTTCCAGATGAAGAAAGCTGAGAATAGGCCCTCCTGGGAAGGGAGCCCAGGGTAAACCTTATCCACAGACCAGAATTAAAACTGGTTCCTGCCAGACATCAGATCCACTGGCAGCTGCATCTGCTGACCCTTCTCCTTTTGAGCAGTGCAAACAGTGAGATAAAATTAGAACCTGGTTTACAGGTTGGCCAAACACAGCAGCTGAGGATCACAGACCAGCTTCTCTGCTAGTTCTCAGCTACAGTTAGGGGCTGTGCCTTTAGCCCTGCAATTCAGGCTCCTCAGATAACTTCCACTTACCATAATGAGGTCAATGCATGCCTAGTCAATCCCACGGGCAAAACGAGCCTTTTTCCCCAGCGGTTGGGGGAGGGCAGCTCTTCCACCCAAGGGCCCCAGCAGTCACCATTTAAGACCAGTCCCAGTGGGAAGCAGAAATATGAGCATCCCTTCCGTGCCTGAGACCCGGGAGACCATTTCGGTCGTTCAAAGCAACCAAGGCTGCCAGAGGTGGTCCCACAGCCCGACCGGACGCAGGCAGCATCCAGCGTCCCCCGCCGATGAACACGTGAGGAACTCAGTTGGCCGAACTCCCCCTTGGCAAGATGGCGTGCCTGAAGGGTTGCAGTTCTCCACAGTGGCACTTAAGCAAGGCGGCTTTCTGGAGCTGCCTTGCTGGCTCTCGTAGGAAATGGTTGCTCCAGTGACACTTTCTTAACGGAGGGGGAGGCCAGGGCCCAGGTGCCAGCGCTCTCCGGCCGTCCCGCCTCCCATCTGCTCTGCGGCTGCTGCTTTTGCAATAAGAGAGGCCTTCCCCACTGAGGTGTAACTGAATTTGCTCTGTAGTCCAAAGTCTGGAGGCTGAGTTAATCTTTGAGCGTGGAGGCACACTCACTTAGCTGAAGGAGCTTTCTCCTCTGGGGAGCTGAAACACGCACACCCTCCACACGCACACAGGCGGACTTCTGTCTACCCAAGCGTCAGTTGCGTTCATCTTACGGGGAACGTTGGCTGCTGGCATTGCCCAGGTTGGACCACCTTTCCCAGTGCTGCCTATTCTGAGTGGCAAGAATGGCCCCCATGAGTTTCAGGCAGAGAATGGATTCTCCCTACAGCTGCCCCGCCTCCGCCATTAAATTATCTGCTCCTCAAGCCAGTATATACCCAAAGTCAGTACGTGAGACAGGTGGCTGTATAGATACGATGAATAAATAGATAAGATAGATAGACAGATAATTAAGTATAATGACTAAGAATACCAAAGGTAATAGCAAAATTAATCCAGAGTATGCGTGTGCGTGGGAGGAACAGGCAACATGACTGCACTGGGCTCTGGGAAGCAGGTCCAGCACAAACCTCTGTCAGCCAAGGGGGAACAGACACACGCCCAGCAGCCGACTCTCAAGCCTACATTTCAGGCTCTGGAAGTCTGAAGGAAAAAAAAACCCCACCTCACCCCAGATGCGTCTCAGATTCTCCCAGAGACGTCTCTGCCCTTCACGGGGCCCGGTTCGCTCAGAGGGTCACCCTGGGCAAGGAGGCGGCGGCTGGAAGCAGCAGGAGCTCTGCGTCCTTAGAA